ATCAACTGCTCCATCTTGCAAGTTTGAAGTAAATGTTGCACATAGCAGCAGACTTCCATTGTTTGCAGCCACTGAGATTTTACTCAATGTTTTCCATTACAACAAAATTCTAACAGCTTTTGCTTAATAGCTTATGTGGAGTCAGGCTGTTTGCCCTGCTGTAAAATCATATGTGTATATCCACAGGACTGCTTGTAACCTTGGTCACCATAATTAATACCAAATAGGTTTATTGTGTTAAATACAATTTAGTTATGGTCTCTTGTCTCTCCTGCACACCTTCGAGGGGATGCTTGATTTACCAACAAATTCCACTACAATAAAATGCAAGTATTCTAGATATTAAAAATATTTTCATTTTTCCTCTCCCTGCAGGGGATTCTGGGGAGGTCCTGCTCCAATAAGGAAACTGCTACACCTAGGGTTGAAGTAAAATCCATTTTCTTCCTGCATCCACAACCAACCGGTCCAGCATATTTCAATAAGCACTACAGCTTTCAGAAAACAGCCTGGAAGATATTCATCTACACTTCCCATGTAAATAAAACCCAATTTATCTGCAGGAACCTGTGCTTCAGAGTCATCTCTTAAAATGTCAGGGGCTTTTTCCCCAACTCATTTTTCTAAAATTACCAACCATTTAGGCTGTAATCCAGACGACGTTAAGTATTAAGTTTCCTGTACTCACTAGAACTTGATTTGGAATAAACATGTGCACATCAGATTACAAGGCTACAAAGTAATGGGTTTCTGGGAAAGAAACTGTATACCATGGCTAGCTCAGACATAAGAAATCATTATTCAGAACAATACAGTCAATAGCTGCATGTTTTTGTCTACCCATGAGAGTAATACTGAGTTGCTGCTAGCATACTGTATAGGATCTCAGGTTTAAAAGTTACTACAATAAGTAACAGCGTGACCCAGAAAGACTCCATTTCAAATCTCTGCTCACCGGTGAACTCTGGGTGGCCTTAAACAATAAGCACAGGCTGTGCCACATTATCCCCTTCAATCACTGGCCTAGTCATGTGGTCTACTTTGTAGGGATGTTAACAAGTAATGCTTGACATTCACAGGGTGGTTTGTTTTTCACACTTCAGTTCTCTGTTCAGTTCTATCCCAATGAAGTACCTGCTTTTATCCTCAATGTAGATGTCCCTTAAAATTTAGGCCTTACAGCCTCTTGTACAATAATTTCTTGTGACACTGTTTGCTCTTAGTAAGTGGCCAAATGGGTAGGAACTGCCTTTTTCCTGAAGACTAGCTGTAATTAAAACATTCCCCTTTTACAGATCCAAGTGTAAATAAAAGCGCTTAATCTCGCAATTTCCCTGTGTGCCACCAGTTAACTCAGCCCATCCCCAAGAATGTGTACACAGCAACCATAACACAAATACAAAATTAGTTTCAGGGAAGCTTTATGGGTGGTTGAATCCTTTTTCATCAAGGCCACATTGGCAGAGATGTATGTCAACAACAGCTTTAACAACTGCAAAGTCAGCTGTAGGGATGTGCATTTCGGGATCCCGAACCGAAAAAAAAGCCGAAAATAACGATTTTCGGCTTTTTTCGGCTTTTGGGATCCCGAATTAGCAATTTATGAGCTTGTCCGAATCCCGAAAAAAATTCCCGAAAAATTCGGGTCCATTATAACCAATGGGGCCATTGAAGTCAATGGCAAAAATCCTCTTGGAACTTTGCGGGGGGCTGGGGGGGAGGGGGTTTGG